ATCTTATTCAGGTTAGTAAATATATCAAATGTAATTAGAGGTACGTGAGATCGTTTTAAATCAAATTTAATTAATTCTCTCCAGAAAGATGTTTACCCTTTTGCTTTACAGATCTCGCGATATCACCTGACAACGTAAGACACAAGTTCTTGTTTGAACTGCTAGAGAAACTCGATCTACTTGGAAAGGATCTTAGAATACTGAGATGGAACAATTACATTGAATCAACTGCTTCATCCACCGCAAGGAAAGTAGGTTCACTGTGTCGCGCGAAAAAGTTTTTCTTGCCCGAGTCCATCCTTCAAATCTATAAATCAACCATTCGCCCTTGCATGGAAGTCTGGTGCCCCCGCTGTTCACTTTAAGTTCCTCGACAAGATCCAGAGACGGATATGCAATGTGGTTGGTCCTGATCTGGCATCTCGTCTACAGTTGCACTCTCACAGACGTGCCGTCGCCTCTCTCTGTCTTTTCTACAAATACTTGTAACTGCCCCGACGAGCTACTTTCGCTAATTCCCACACGTCATGATTTTAAACGTGCTACTAGGTTGGCATTACGGTCCCACCCTTTCACTGTCGAAACGATTAAATGTGGCCGTCTCTTCCACTCCAAGAGCTTCATGTCTCGCACCTCCCGTCTGAGCATCTCCCTTCCTACTATTTGCTTCCCTGATAGCCATAATCTCCAACTATTCAAATGTAATGTCAATTGACATCTCCAGATGCCTTGATCTATTCCGTGGCCTTCTCTTCATCCTTTCCTCTATCACGCCTCTTTACTCTCGCTCCTACTCTGTAACCACTTCGTACTAGTGTCGCATCCCGCCTTGCCTGAGGCGAAATGCTTAAAAAAAAAAAAAAATAATAATCCAGAACTTATACTGGGGGCAAACCGCCTGCATGCGGATAGAAAATGAATTGAATGGGTACACAGAAACATAAAGGGGTATAAGAGAAGATGTCTTCTTGGTGGATTTATTCAACCTCTCCACCGATGCTATCATAAGGAAGACCTTACCAGGCTTCATTATCGGTGGGTGTAGTCTTAACAATAACATAACACAATAAGAAAAATAGAGGACCTCCTAGACAATGTAGTAAAAGAAAGGGAGAAGAAAGGAATAGCCATAAATTTTAAGCTGTGAGAAATTATGAATGTAAGCAAAACAAGTAGCACAAGATGTGAACTCCGAATTGGAGATTGTGTTGTAACCTAGGAAGGGTTACTGAATGAGGAACAACCAAAACGGAGATTGGAAATGAAATGGTAATCTTCATAACATCAACAAAATAAAATACTCGCCAGCGGCGTGAAGTAGGTAAACCACGGCTAGTTGTGGACTAATTAGACAGCATAGTGTCGAACGTATTCATGAGGATTGGGGCATAGCCATTAGTGTACATAGGTATGGTATATAACAAGATGTCAATAGAAATTTAAATACCTGAGAAATAACTGACATCCATCAAACATGGCACGTGGAACTAGAACAGTCTACCCCAGTGATCGAAATAAAGGGTTCAGTTCGAAATTTCTACCACCTGAAGAAGGAGCGTACAACGGCCGAAACGTTGTGACAAATATGGCGACAAAGATGAGGACAATAGTCCGACTAATGTAGATAATGTTTTAACAGAAGATGAAAAATGTGACCGCAAAATCTGAATGTGCATTGGATGAGCGAAAATGCCTTCCAAAAGCTAAGTAAAGTATTAAGAAACAGGAAAATTTTCGTTAGAAACAAAGAAAAGAGTGTTTGGCATTGAATTCTGGACATTGCCTCAACAAATGACGAGAAAAACTGGGGTAAAAAAAATGGGGTTCTGAAGAAGGATACTGAGAACGGATCGGGTAATTAATTTGAAAGTTTCAGCATCTGTCTATATTTCCGAGATGCCGTATTATGTACACTATTTACATTATTCGGGCTATTGTCTTCATCTTTGTTGCCATATTTATTACAACGTTTCGGCCTTTCAGTATTTGTCTATATTTCTGAGATGACGTATTATGTACACTATTTACATTATTCGGACTATTGTCCTCATCTTTGTTGCCATATTTATTACAACGTTTCGGCCTTTCAGTATCTGTCTATATTTCTGAGATGACGTATTATGTACACTATTTACATTATTCGGACTATTGTCCTTATCACAACGTTTCAGCCTTTCAGTATCTGTCTATATTTCTGAGATGAAGTATTATGTACATTATTTAGATTAATCGGACAATTGTCCTCATCTTTATCGCCATATTTATTACAGCATTTCGGCCGTTGTACGCTCCGGCCTTCTTCATGTGGTTGGAATGTCGAACAGAGCCCTTATTTCGCTGACTGGGGTAGACTGTTCTAATTCCACGTGCCATGGTTAATGGATGTCAGTTGTCAGTTATCTCCTGTTAATTTTTCCCTCTGAAAGTTCTCCACTGCCTTTACGGGGTACTGAATAAATATGACGACAAAGATGAGGACAATAGTCCTAATAAAGTTGAATGTCTTAATGAAAATGGTAACAAAAAGAATACTCAGAATCAAAAAGTGACTGCCGAAATTTCTTGGACACACAATGAGAAAAGACGGCTCGGAAAATGTGGTCCTCACGCGGTTATTTTGAATCCAGTAGACATAGGGGAAAGCGGCGATTCATACCTGATGAACTTCTGTGAATAGTTGGCAAAACGGGGATCGCGAGTTTTGGCAAAACGACAAAAACTGGCAAAGGCTACGCGAACGCGGGTTCGGGGTTTGTGGAAAGCGATGATTGTCTATAGCCTGAAAGGACACGGCACATAGAAATATCGTGTAAGTTGTATCTGAAATTTGGCGGAAGGGAAGCTGAAAAAATCAATATGAAAGTTTTCCCTTGTGAGTAGACGTCATTATTTGCAACAAAGTCGGTACTTCAAAAAGAAAAAAAAAGTCAGACGGCGAAAGTAAAGCGAAACAAAACATGAATCAAGTTTTCATGTTACAAAAAGCAGATTTTATTCAGCAAGAAAATTAATTGTTCGTAGGCTTCCGCAAATCTGATCTAATAAGGCGCAGATCGCGCAATCATACAGAAGAAAACGGCCGAGAAAATATACATTAACGAATCCGAAACAATCCGTATAGATTATGACATTAAATGTTCAATGTTTTTACGGTCATAAAAGCATAAAGCTGGGATTGTTTCTTGTTGATTGTTTCTATCAACATTGAAACACTATTGGTAGGTAAATAGAACACAAGGAAGCTGCTGCTGGCAATCAGAAAAAGGGAGCGAGGATTTAAGGGACACCTAAGAGGAAAGAAGGCTTGGAGAATTTAGCACTCCCAAAAATCGAATGAAAGCAAGAAAAGTAGAGAAACAGAAAGTAACATAAAGGAGTTCAAATGAATAGATGGAAGTAAAATCGAGCAACAAAAGACAATAAGCTTTGTTTGAGAGAAGAAAATATAAACTGTCGAAAATAATAACATCACCAGTTAAGTAGCTATGTATGTACACTGTACACGCATAGAGATAGAGAGATAGGAACAGTGATATATATATATATATATATATATATATATATATATATATATATATATATATATATATATATATATGTATATATATGTAGAAATATAGTTTTAAGGTTTGCTATATTTATAGGATAAAGTGCTCAATATCAGAGATAGAGCGTATGGAAATATAAATATAAAAGTGAACATTAAAGTCAACAATCAGAGGCAATAGGCTGTTTCATGCTGGACTCAGTCATCAGACCGCCCTGGTGAAACACCCTGTCGCCTCTGAGTGTTGACTTTACTGTTCACTTATATATATATACATGTATGTATGTATATATGTATGTATGTATATTTAAATTGTGTGTGTTTAGGCAGCTTTTTTTCATTGATGCATTTTTATTAAATAATACAAACAAGTTTTCTCTATTTATTTTATGCAAATTCCTTTCATATATTTTCATATTTTTTTAATATATATATATATATATATATATATATATATATATATATATATATATATATATATATATAGAGAGAGAGAGAGAGAGAGAGAGAGAGGAGAGGGTGTTTCATTAAGACGTATCAAAGTTAGCTGTAAATAAATCGGTGTTATTGGGGAAAATTGATTTCACTATTGGATCATGTTATTTAAGTCATGGCGATTATGCGTGAAAAATAATATCGTCCAAAATGTCCGCCAAATCTTCGGTGGCACACCTCCACCCGATGGTCAACATTTTTGATGATGTCTCTGCATAATTACTCCTCGATCTCACCTTATTATCTCATCCTTTAGCTGTTGAATTGTTGTTGGCTTGTTGGCATAGACCTTACCTTTGAGATGACCCTCAAAGGAAGAAATCTTAAGGTGACAAGTGGTGGTGAACAATATTTCCCCATTAACTAGCGCAGGGTTTGTTTTTTTTTTCGACGAAACGTTCATGGACATGTTTCTGCTGCTTGCCGTATAAATAGGGTCTCGCTTGTGGAGATCTATCTTTGTCAATAACACTGCCTTTGCGTTGAACATTGGTAGAACAGACCAACCTAGTTCCAAAGTCTTGTATCATTTTTGACATTTTTATTAGAAAACAATTTCCATATTGCAGCTTTTTGCAGCGATTGAAAAATGGTACTAATTGGTTACTGCAAGGTCAGATGAGTCTGGTAGGTAAAGGTAGAACAGATCTATCAAGTTTTTTTTTTCTTTTCTGGCTTGTAATTGCTACATTCGGCCTTGTGTTGCCATGGTGGTGTACAATATTTTCCCATTAAATAGCGCAGGGCTTTTTTCGACCAAACATTTATGGACACGTTTCAGCTGCTTGCCGTATAAATAGGGTCTGTGGAGATCTATCCTTGTCAATCACACTGGCTTTGCGTTGAACATTGTTCTATGTAACCCATTTATTTACATGATACACTTAACGAACAGTACTTACTTATGGCTCAAACTAATATATTTATTCATTGTTTATTAATCCTTGATTTTTTTTAGGTCCGTAATTCGTGGTGTCAATTACAGCTACACCATTGAAGTGAATATCGGGAACAAAGTAAGTGGACCCTCACCGGCCCTTCATTACCAACATGGACAACCATTCTGTGGAAACGGGAGAGTGGAAACGTAAGTATTTTTAAGTTCCGAAAATTCTTGAAGTGGAGAAACATTAGTTGGTTTCATATACATAGTATTCTTAATATGATCTTGCAGGTCTGTTTCGAGAATTTGATTCGGAAACAGTAAAGAGACTCTTTAGATAAATCAAGGTAACAGAGAATCCATTAATATTTTCGTCTGAACGGAATACAAAAGGAGGCTTTGTATTGTTTGGTTGTATTAAATGGGAATGCCTAAGTATAATTTGCTGAGACTAGGACACGCCATCATTGCACAATTCTATGATAAGCAACTGATTTCATTGAATGACTCATTGGAAGAAAAAATATCTTTGGCGGGAAAAGAAATTAACTGGTGATTTTGCTGTATGATTACGTTTTCCTGAGTTCAAAATGCAACGGAACAAACAAACAGTTCTTTATGCGACGAATTCAAAGAACTGACACCTTCAGATTATATCTGGTTTCGTTTTATACAGAATGATTTCTCTGCTTAGAAGAACTAAAACGTTATCCATAACCGGAGAAGTTATAGAATTAATGAAATAATTCATTCTTTTATGGCAGAATACATTAGTTAGCTAGAAGGGGCACCTCGACGTGGTGTAATGGCTAGAAAGCTTGTCTTGTTAGATCAATTATGCCTGAGTAGTGAGTTCGATCCTTACTGGGCGCCCCATACTTTCGGCCTTGTGCCGCATCTAAACAGTGCTTAGAAAATCGCTATTAGTTAGCTAAAAGGCTTAAGTCAAACCAGAAAATTCCGGTATAATTAATGTAATTATGATACTATGGATGTAGATGGATATAAAAATGATTTTAAATAACTTTCCCACCGCCTTAAGGTGGCTTTCCGTTGCCTTTTCTATCAATAATTTCATGGTAATTGTTTGGGTGAGTTCTTCACTATAGTACAAAGACTTTATGAATATAAGTGCAGTATTAGACTGAGAACGAAGTCTCAACAATTTATAGTTGAGTTAGATATAACTGTAAAAGCTATGCTATCAGTTTCTTTTCTCGCACTTCTCGTTTGTGGAACTCCCTTCCGGCTCCAATGCTTTCCAGTCAAATTTGATCTTCAAACGTTTAATGCAATGTCAATCGTCATCTACTGTCCTTATGATTACTCTTCTTTTGTTTTCACTCCTTATTAATGTTTTGTGTTTGTAACAATTCCACAGCCAGTAACACCTTGTGTCTTATCGGCTTCTTTACTGTCATGCACGGGGTGATCTCGAATCAAAAGATAAAATAAACGGTGGAAAATTTTGCATGAGCCTGATAGTTAATTGTTATTTAAATGTTAGCAACGATCAATAGTGAAAACGTGAACAGTAAAGACGAGAATAATGAATCAGTGAAAACGCTACAAACTCCAATAATGACTTGTCTATATCTCTGAGATGAGGTATTATGATTATATTATTATTGTTATCCTCATCTTCATTGCCATATTCACAGCGTTTCCTCACATGGCCCAGTGGATAAAGGCGTTGGTTAGATCAAATGACTAAACCCAAAGTGTTGTGAGTTCAATACCAAGCTACAGCAGTGGTGAACCAAACTTGGAGAGTTGAGTTAAAGAGAAATACCTGAGACATCCGGAAGTGGCATGACACGTGGAACTAGAACAATCTAATCTGGTGGACCAATTAAAGGGTTCGGTTCGAAATTTCAATCGCCTGAAGAAGGCAGGAGCGTTTAACGGCCGAAGCGTTGTGAATATGGCAATTAAAAATTAGGATAACAGTCCGAATAATGTAAATAATGCAAGTAATCCAATGATGACGTTCAATTTAGAAAAAAACGTGAGAAATTACAAGAAGCTTTTATACTTGTGAGGGCAATAGAGACCACAAGAAAAGACACGAACCAAATTAAGAGAGGCGCACAAATGTTTGTCATTTATTAACAGGTTTATTGCTCGGGTTGACGTTAATGTCTGTGTCAACGTGTTGAGTAATTGGCTGTTCAAGTACAAGTAAAGCTTAAATACGAAAACATGTTAGAACGCTTGGCTTTCGATTCTTTTGGTTGACGGCACGTAAAAGAATTTGGTCGGATTTTAAAACCATAACATAAATTAATTCATCTTGAAAATGACCAATGATGTCAGAACGACATTTATGGACGTGAACATTTTTACACATAGTAGAACAAAACATTTATTATCTACGAAATCAGGAGAAAATCAATAAAATAAAACGTTGTTAATGGTTTTCCAAAAGACTTGCTTATACACACACATACATACATATATATATATATATATGTGTGTGTGTGTGTGTGTGTGTATGTGAAATGGACAAAGTCCGACAATTATTTTTAAGACATTTTTTTTATGTTTATACATTCTTTTTATAGATACAAATATTTAAGTAAATGCTCTGTTTATAATAAACAGTATTAAACAACATTTACCGGCCTGAATGTCCGAGAAATTTTCACAGAAAATATTCGTCCTGCGACAGGATTCGAACCTGTATCCTATACGGAACTGTCATTTAGCTTGACGTGCTTTACAGATTTGGATACGCATCGAGTCAATATGAATGTACGAGAGAAAATCATGTAGAGTTGTAGTTTAAAAACAGTAAAATCGACCTTGCCTACCGAACGATCCTCTGTGGCTCAATCGGTTAAGGCACGTCAGGCTATATGACTTAAAAATATATACAAGCAAGTCTTTTGAAAAATCATTGTAAATATGTATATTACCTCAAACATTATTATACTGAACTGTCGTATTTGATATAGACGCCCCATTATAATATTAAACAGTGTGTATTACAAGTGTCGATCAGTGCGTTCAAGAAATCATAATAAAGAAAATTTGTTCTCCGACAGAGATCGAACAAGCATTAATCCTGCCTGATTTATCGCTCGACCATGAAGACCTTCACAACTGAGCTAGCCTCTATTTTCCATTTTAAAGGAAAGCACATCCTCATCACTCGGATTATTTTCTCAAAAACCCATATCTACTTAGTTTCGTATTAGAAAAGTAAACGAAGCAATTACTAAAGAATTAATGGATTTTTTAAAATCAACATTTTATTACTTCAGGGAACAGTCGTGTTTTAATTTTAAATTGTCTGAATTACGTCTATTAGCTAGCGAATTCCAGAAATCTTAATACAGAAATTTCGTTTTCTGGGAAGAATCGAACCTGCATCCTCCGTTGCTAGGGAAAACCCCGGTTGATTCGGTGTCTTTTACCGTCACAGTAAAGCCAAGCTTGTACCCTTTTTATGGAAAACTCGTAGGTATTTTTTTGTGAGGGCATTTGTTTTGACGGAGAAAAGTTAAAATTAATGTATCCCACACTCCAGGCAGTAGCTGTCCTTCGTGGGGGGATGGGGTCATTACCAAATGGGGGAGGAGACATGGGAGCACGGAAAAACCCACTTGAAGAAGAAGAACGAATTTTTTAAATATATAAGATATAACGTTTAGACTTTATCTGATTTGTTGACTATGAATGGATTTTTTTTCCAATATTCAACACTTTATTTACAAAGACTGCTTACATTAAAAATAGTTATCTCCCAGAAAAACGTGCGTGTCTGTGTGCAATTTTTAAGTGAAAAATATATCCTTAATCAACCAACTTATTCGACTCCCCAAACATATATATAATTTTAAAACATTAAGTGGGACGGAGACATGATATATCAAAATACAAAGTATTATTAGATATAATTACCAAACCAACCTGAAGATCCAAGAGGTGAAAATTTAATACAGGCTGAGGTATTTAGATCTTTTATTTTAAAAAGAAACATTCATAAAATTCCTTAATACAGGATGTGGCAGTAATACCTCTCACATATACTTTCCAGAAATACCTCGCACATAATAAGACGATAGTCGCAATGGTGTCTTCATCTAGGTAATATCTTTTCATTATATCGTAGGTATTTCTGGGTACTATACGTGAGAAGTACCTCTGCCGTAAACACTTTCTTTTCTCGCATTTCTCGCTTGTAAAACTCCCGTCCGGCTCCATGTTTGCCAGTCAATTTTAATCCTCAAAAATTCAAATGCAATGTCAATCGCTATCTGCTGTCTTCCTGATTACACTTCTATTGTTTTTAATCCTTAGTAATATTTCTGTTCTCTAATTCTTCCATACCCAGTAACCCCTTGAGTCGTAGTGGCTTTACTGCCTTGTACAGGGTGAACTCGAATATATAATATAAGATAAGATAATATAAAAGCTCAAACACTAATTCAAAAGAAAACAACAAAAAAAAACTTTTCTGTTTTCTTTTTGAATTTGTAGATCTGATGAATTGGGTCGTGATTACGATTCCAGTGTAATAAATTATAACCATGGAATATTAGTCTTTGAGTCTTTTATATATTCTTGCTCTCTGTCTTTGACATAGAGCTCCACCTGGATTTTATCCTGTTGGAAATATCTATATATAAATTGGCCACTAGTATTATCTCTCTCTCTCTCTCTCTCTCTCTCTCTCTATATATATATATATATATATATATATATATATATATATATATATATAAAAACTTAGAGGCGACACTTTGTTTTCATGCTAGACGCAATCGTCAGGCCTGACGATTGCGTCTAGCATGAAACAGTCACCTCTAAGTATTAACTACTATGTTCCCTTTTATATTTACACACGCTCTCTCTCTCTGATATCGAGCACTTTATCCCATAAATATAGCACACCTTAAGACTATATATATATATATATATATATATATATATATATAGCTTCAACACCATCACTTGATAAGACACCAGAATAAGATAAAGAACTAATATGTAATATTTATCAACCTATTTCACTATTATTCAAGCTTCCTCGAAATAATATATGGAGAAAAAGAAGACAGATTCTGGTATCTATAATTTTGTGTTGTTTGAATTTTATTGGTTAATCATGTTTCAGTGCATTTGACTTGTTAAACAAACATTAGTATAGCTTATGACGTTCCGAATTCAAGAAGAGACGACACGTCCTTTCAAAGTTC